TTCATAACCTACTAAGGTATATATGCTTTAAGACAGCACAAAGAATGTCCCAAAAGCAGTCATTTGCTAAAGTGTCTAGCTCATTGAGAATTCTTGACAAACGAAACCATCATGTTCTGTTGATTTTTCCTTTTCCTTTTTTTTTTTTTTTTTGATTGGTAAATGTAAAATTTTATAAATCAAAACTCATATTATAGATAAAAAATTTCCGTTTTATATTCATGTTTGTTTGTCATTGACCATATATGGAATATGGTGCTTGCGTTTTTACGAGGTCACCAGTTTGCCTATAAAAGTTCTTGCAATGAAGTCTTTACTTTGCAGATGCCTTAGTAGCAATTTTTTGTTTTTGTTGATTGATTGATTCATGTGTAGTTTTAAATTATGGTGTATGATCTAAGATTAGAATCTTTTCCTTGTGCTTTTAGACGCTCAACTATTAGGCCCAACTTAAATCGTATAGTTAACCTGTGCTTTAATTTTTAACAACAATTTTTTTCTCATCCACCAAAAGAAATATCGGAATGTTGAGTGGACTGCAATGCCCCTAATTTGGGTTTGTTGAAGTAGCGAACCCTAAAACTAAAGAAAGACGTGAGCAATTCTTCCCATGCTCCATGATTTTGTTTCTATACTTGGAGGGCTATTGTTGATCATCGACAAAAAATGTGAAAATAAGTCGAGCGGTTCAAGCCACACTCAAGCTTAGCCTGGCATGATTGGCCAACCGTTGAATAGCATGGTCAGCACGAGAGAGAGAGAGAGGATCTCACTTTAACACCTCTACTTGTTATGCTTATAAAAGTATTATTGGGACTGGGTCCACCTAAAGGTTAACGAATAGAAAAAGGCTCAAATGTATTTGAAAATTCACTGGTGAATCATTTCAATATTTTTTCCTGCAATATGCTCATTGACAGACAAATTTCTAAGGAATGTTAAACTGCAGGTTTCTTTTAGCTTCAAATTTTTCTCAAGTCATAGATAGATTCCATAACATATATTTCTACTATCTTAAAAGAGGCAATCCACTATTTACTGTTCATTTGTGGAGCTTTTTTTTAATTCAATTTTATCCATATTCATTCTCCACTATTCATCCAAGTTTTAAGGGTATTTAAGGGTAATATGGACTTCCTTCTATCTATACCCACAATTGCTGACTTTGAATGTCGGTAAAAGAAAAAAAAAGTCCTCACAACTGTGGATTGTCCAAGAATCAATAAGAGATTCAAAATTAACAATTGTGGGTATTGGTACAATGAAGTCCATATTACCCTTAAACCTTAGATGAATAGTGGAGAATGGATATGGATAAAATGAGATTAAAAAAAGCTTCACAAATAAACATATTCATTCTCCACTATTCATCCAAACTTTAAGGGTGATATGGAATTCCTTCTACCCACACCCACAATTGTTGACTTTGAATGTCGGCAAAAAATAAAAATAAAAATTAGTCCGCACAGCACAGACACCAGTGTCCGTGGTGTGCGAACACCAGGAAGCAAGCATTTAACTTAGAATCAAGAGAGGTAAAATCCCCGCACAAGGGTAGATATTAAAATCGAATTAAAATTGAAAAATTAGTTGTTATTGTTGACTTTTATTAGACGAATGGGACCCAATAACGGTTATATTTTCAATTTTAATTGAATTTTAAGCACAACCGAACACGCTCTCGATTCAAAAAGAGGTGGTTCAACCAATTGTGTAGAATGTTTTGCCTCATGAAGATGGGTTCACATACGTGCATGCACTTTTTTGTCCTTCCATTGCCAATTCTTCTGTTTGATGATTATGATGAGTTACCCAATCAATTCCTCAAGATACATGAAGAATTTGATGAAAAAAAATGGTGAGCATTTATTCTCTCTACATGAATAAGACAAAGTAAAGCAAATGTAGTCGGAACGTTGTTTATGACTCCTCACATGCTTCTAACTCAAAGAAGGCCAGTGACTTTCAATTTGGCATGACAAAGCACTAGAAAGATAACTATTTTGTCCTGCTTGAGTTTCTTTTTTGGTCTTAATCTAAATTTGTTTAGTTATGTTATTTCTTTTTATGAAGTGACGAAGTGGAATTTTCTTTTTCTTATGTCATGTTCACAACATCTCCAATCTACTTCTCTAATCTCCAGTATGAGGATTTCACTCCCTAACTTGCTTATTGCTTTGTTCTTTAATAGTAAGATTGAGATTCCATCAAATTCATTGACAAATTGTCTTTGTAGTCTATCATTCATTTCTTGTAGGTCTTCTCAATTCTTCATAGAAGTAGTGATTAGGAGATTGACTAGAGATTAGATGCAGAGTCATTATCTAAGAGGGCTTCTTATTGGTGTATTAGTAGTATGTGTATGAGAGACATAAGCATTTGTCTCATCATCTCCTTCCCGATTGAATACTCAATTGCCTTGTCACATTATTGCCTTCAGCATTATTGAGCAAAATCAGCACGATGATTTTGCAATCCCACATAATTATGGTAAATCTGAGTATCAAAGGAAAGATATGGTGTCAAAGAAGGAAGATGAGATAAATATTCAAGATCACACGCCCAAAATTAATGGAGATTTACTACACCAAATAAAAGGCAAATCTGCAGCTACAAATGACAGAACAAGTGAGAATGCACCAAGCCATACTTTGGGACTCATTCATTGGTCATGCAATGAAAGCTCAATCACGTAGATCCACAATTCTCTACACAGATCAATTACTTCATCCCAGAATCTGCATGTTCCTTATTTACTTCAAAGACTACTTTAGATAGTGTTTTTAATAGGCCTATAAAAATGTACTGAGGTTCTTGTAATACTCACGGAAAAATAAAGTCAATCCAAGTTTCTTACATTTTTCCAGTCTTTTATCTTGGTATCAGAGCCAGTGTGAGTTCAAGAACCTCATTTTTTTTTTCAATGACTTCCTTTTCCCTAAATGTTGGTAACTTTGTCACCCTCAAGCTTCAACCTGATAACTACCCTCTCTGGCGAGAGCAGGTTGTAGCACTTGCTGAAAGCCAAGACCTTGTTGGTCTCCTTGATGGCTATACTACACAACCATCCATGTATACAACTTCTACCACACCTACTGGAGATCCCACATATGACACTGCCTATCTTGAATGGCGCAAGCAAGATCGCTTACTCCGTGGTTGGATCATTGGGACACTCTCTCCTGAAGCTCTTGGTCTTATAATCGGCCTGGAGACCTCCAAAAATGTCTGGGATGCTCTAAAAAATGCATATGCCCAAAGTTCCCAAGAACGGGAATTCACTCTACGTCAACAACTGACCTACCTGCGGAAGGATTCATCTTCTTCACTTTCTGATCATCTCAGAAAATTCAAGAGTTTATGTGACAACTTGGCTGCCATTGGTTGCCCCATTGCTGACAAAGAACGTGTTTTCTTTCTCTTCACCAGCTTGGGACCTAAATATGAGACTTTCACAACCTCCATGATGAAGCCACCCATGCCTACCTATTCAGAACTTGTTTCCTTACTCCAAGGCTTTGAACAACGTCAAGGGCTCTTTGAGCACACCGTTGGTCCCTTTGCATTCTATGGGAATCGACAGACTCCTCCTAAACAACAAGGCTCTTATCGTATCAACAACTCAGGAAGCAATCGAACTGGCAATACAAATTCTTTTACGTCCAAAGGCCGCGGGTTTCAACCCACAGTTTCTACTAACCAATTCTTTCATAATGCAGGAAATATGACTCAACAGAGGCACGATCCTGACTCTTCCCGTCAAAACAACCCCATGATGCGACGCATGACACCTACAGAACGTGAGCTCTATAAAAATGAGCGTTGCCAAATCTGCAACCGGGATGGTCACATTGCAACAATTTGTTAGGATCGCTTCAAAGATTGCATAAATAAAGAAGACATTCCACATGCTCTTGTTGCTCTCACCTTAGACACCAGTATAACAGATTCAGATTGGACCACTGACACTGGTGCGTCCAACCACATGACTGGTAATGAAGGTATGGTTTATAACACTCGACCCTACCTTGGTAATGATAAAGTTCTCATTGGTGATGGTAGTGCTCTAACTATTAAATCTGTTGGTGATGCTATTATACATGATGGCTCAAAGAAATTACCTCTTACTAATGTACTCGTTGTCCCTTCACTTACTCGCAACTTATTATCAGTTAGTCAACTTACTGATCAATATCCAGTTAATTGTGAGTTTTCTAATCTTGGTATTTCTGTTAAGGCACGACAGACAGGGCAAACACTTTTGAAGGGAACGCGCATGGGTGATTTATATATGCTTCAAAGTCCTCAGGAGGCCCATTTTTCCACTCGTTTCTGTTCCGGTTCAACTGATCTTTGGCATCAACGCCTAGGCCACCCACAGTCTTCATCATTACATTTACTTAAATCTAAGGATTTAATCTCTATCAATGGTAGCACTAAAATGTCAAATGTCTGTGATAGTTGTCAACTTGGGAAACTTAGCAAATTACCTTTTCTTGATTCCAAAACCTTATGTACTGAATTATTTCATCGTGTGCACTGTGATCTTTGGGGCCCTGCCCCCGTTTTATCTATTAATCATTTTCGGTATTATGCATGTCTTGTGGATGAGTTTACTCGCTTTACTTGGATAATTCCATTAAAATTCAAATCTGACTTTACTGATGCATTTCTAACCTTTGAAAAATATATTTTGCGTCAATTTAACAAAAGAATTAAAATTTTCCACTCCGATGGCGGTGGAGAATTTGTCAACTCCCGCTTGACAACTCACTTTACTCAACAAGGTATTTCACATCAAATATCTTGTCCATACACTCCAGAACAATCAGGTATGGTTGAACGCCGACATCGATTTATTCGAGAACTTGGCATGACTATGTTGTTTCATAGTGGTCTTCCCACTTATTTTTGGGTTGAAGCATTTAGTACTGCAGTTTACCTTATTAATCGTTTACCTTGCTCTTCAATTCAATTTGACATCCCCTACTCTAAATTGCATGGTATCAGACCTGATTACTCATGTTTGCGTGTTTTTGGCTCTAAGTGTTTTCCTTATACTTGGGATACTAAGAAAAATAAATTTGACCCCAAGACTCTCCCCTGTGTCTTTCTTGGTTATAGTGATAAATATAAAGGGCACAAATGTTTTGATCCACTCTCACGTCGTATGTACATGACACGGCATGTGGTGTTTGATGAAAAGGTTTTTCCCTTCAAACAACCTCATTTGTTGCACACTGAACACCCTTCTTTATTTCTTCTGTCAAATTTTGATATTTGGACAGCTTCTATTTCTGATGCATCTACTACTTTGCCAGGTCATGACTTTCCCTCCACTATTGACGCTCTTGAATTTGCCCATCTTCCTGTTCCTGTACATCAACAATCTCCTGATGTTGTCGCGCCTTCACCTCGTGCAACCACTGAACCTTCTTCTCCAGACCTTGCCCCAACTCTGGAAATTCAGCAACCTACTCCAACCGTCTCCCCCCACCCCATGCTCACTCGACTACAAGCCGGTATTCGCAAGCCAAACCCGAAATATGCTCTGACTGTCAGTACTATGAATATTCCTCGTGAGCCCCACACAACAAAATCGGCTCTTCAACATGAAGGCTGGAAACAAGCCATGCACGAAGAAATGGATGCACTTCATCAAAATAACACGTGGAAACTTGTTCCTAATCTCCCTACCATGCATGTGATTGGATCTAAATGGGTCTTTAAAATTAAACTCAAAGCTGACGATACCCTTGAACGTCTTAAAGCACGCTTGGTAGCTAAGGGATATAACCAAGTGGATGGCCTCGATTACATCGATACTTTTTCTCCTGTCATCAAGCCAGGGACAATCCGGCTAGTTCTTAGCATTTCTCTTGTTAATGGATGGGAAATTCGACAAATGGACGTCAAAAATTCCTTTCTTCATGGAGTCCTTTCGGACGATCTTTATATGGAACAACCTCCAGGCATGCAAGATCCAAATTTTCCCTCTCATGTGTGCAAGCTTCAACGTGCTTTATATGGGCTGAAGCAGGCTCCTCGAACGTGGTTTGATCGCTTTAGTACTTTTCTTATTCAAAATGGATTTTTCTGTAGCTTTGCTGACCCATCACTTTTTATTCTTCACTCTACTCATGGAACGATAATTCTACTTTTATATGTTGATGATATGTTATTGACAGGCTCCAATCAAGTCTTGGTAAAAACCTTCATCACTCGTCTTCATTTGGAATTTGCAATGAAAGATCTTGGCGCCGTACCTCACTTTCTCGGAATTGAAGTCACAAGATCACTCAACGGCTTACACTTATCGCAATCACATTATGCCCGACTGTTCTTGAGCGTGCTCACATGACTGGCAGCAAGCCTAAGAATACCCCTATGGAGTCCAAAACGAAGGGTTTAACAGATGCTACTCTCCTTGATGATCCAAGCTTTTATCGCAGCATTGTTGGTGCATTGCAATATTTAACATTAACAAGGCCTGATATATCTTTTAGTGTTAATTTTGTTTCACAGTTTTTGCAAGCTCCCACTCAATCCCATCTCAAGATGGTTCAGTGAATACTTCGTTACATCAAAGGCTCTCTACACCTAGGCATGCACGTTACTTCTCGTACCAATTTAAACCTATGTGCCTACTCTGATGCAGATTGGGCTGGTTGTCCAACAACAAGACGCTCTACTACAGGCTACTGCACTTACTTGGGTGATAACCTCATCTCTTGGTGTGCAAAGAAGCAACAAACAGTGTCCCGCTCTAGCACTGAAGCTGAGTATCGAGCTATGGCTCATGCCACCGCTGAGCTTACATGGCTGACATTTCTTCTTCGTGATCTCCATGTTCCACTCTCAAGTCCTCCAGTTCTGCTGTGTGATAATATCAGTGCACTCCACCTCACTGTCAACCCCGTCTTTCATGCTCGAAGTAAACACATTGAATTGGACTATCATTTTGTGCGTGAACGTGTTGCCCTTGGTCAGTTGATCACTCAACATGTCTCTTCACCTTCCCAGGTTGCTGATATATTTACCAAGCCTATGTCCAAATCACAACTTCATTATGTTAGGATCAAACTTTGCCTTCAGCCCCGGCCAAGTTTGCGGGAGGGTATTGAGCAAAATCAGCACGATGATTTTGCAATCCCACATAATTATGGTAAATTTGAGTATCAAAGGAAAGATATGGTGTCAAAGAAGGAAGATGAGATAAATATTCAAGATCACACGCCCAAAATTAATGGAGATTTACTACACCAAATAAAAGGCAAATCTGCAGCCACAAATGACAGAACAAGTGAGAATGCACCAAGCCATACTTTGGGACTCATTCATTGGTCATGCAATGAAAGCTCAATCACGTAGATCCACAATTCTCTGCACAGATCAATTACTTCATCCCAGAATCTGCATGTTCCTTATTTACTTCAAAGACTACTTTAGATAGTGTTTTTAATATGCCTATAAAAATGTACTGAGGTTCTTGTAATACTCACGGAAAAATAAAGTCAATCCAAGTTTCTTACATTTTTCCTATCTTTTATCTAGCATCACAAGGCTTCTGTCCAAGTGATCCAAGAAATCATCAACTCTCAGATCAACTACTCCTTTTAATAAGAAAACATATTTCAGGTACGCCTCACAAGACTCCTTTTGCATAACAATCAAATGATATTCATAATTTGGTGCAAATATTTCAGCTTCTTTTCCATTTGTTGATTTAAAGTTCCCAAAAATTTCCCCAAATCTCGTGTAATCAGGCTTTCGTCTTCAGTTCTCTATTTAGGGTTGAAATTGGATGCTTCGTTCAGTGGATAGTTTCTTATGTTGAATTTGAGATTCCTTTTGGTCTTACGAATATGAAATTGTTAATTACAAATTGAGTTCTTAATTTCTTCTTGGTATGAAAGTTTATGGGCTTAAAGATAGCAAACAAACTTTTAAGTTAATTTAAATATTTGACAAACTGAGGCTTAATGTTCCTAACCAGCTTACTAATGTACATTTTTATTTCTCTTTCGCAGGTCAGGGTGGTGAACAACCAACTCGTATGGACCTTTTCCTCATGGTTCAAGAAATCCAAAGATGAGTGCAATTTAGCAGGTAGGGAGTAAAATATGGAGTGTCAACTTATTATCTTACAATTACAGACAAAAATAGCTTAGGTGTGCTTTCTTGTGGGTCTCATGCATACTTTCAAGATTGTTCATCCAACCTATCTTGATGTATGTTCTTGTTCATATCTTTTTTATGCCAAATAAATTTATGCACATACATGATTGAATTGAAATGAAAGTGAATTCTTAAAATTACTTTTACATCATGACAAAGTTGCTTTATGAGGAGATTGAAGAGGATGAGACCTGCTGGAATCAAGATACTCTCAAAGAGGAGCTATTTCTTTTCTTTCTTATTATTCTTTTCATCGGTGAAAAAGTTGTGTTTCTCTAGCGTACCCATTGTTTGAATATCTTTCTCTTCTTCTATGTAATAAGATACTAATACATATCATAATTTGTATTCGTAATAATCGTGTTAGTTCGCATAGTGACTGAGATAATTTGGCCACATGATAAATTACCATGCATAGCCAAGAAAAGATTTATTACGTAAATGCATTTAAGTTTATGCTTAAGTTTGTTGGATATTCACCATGTTGAGTTTTTTTCAGGAAAACAATGATGCAGAATATGAAGGAGAAGATAGGTTGCTCATGTTTTCAATAGTGATTTTGATGAAGAAATTATTTCAATGCTTCTATAAGGTTTTTTTCCCGATTTCTATATGCCTTTTTAACACCAATGTCATTTAAGTCCTTGTTTGGTGCAAATTTTTGGAAAAATAATGCATTTTTACTGTTAATGTGATGGGGAGTATGTGGTTGAAAAAGAAAGAAAAATTATTGATATAATGAAAAATATTATTTTATTGAAAAATATGTGGTTAAAAATGAGTAGAAAAATAAGAATGAAAAAAATAACGTGGCTCAAACTGGGCCTAAATTTCTATTTGGTTTATGTAGTTACTTCAATATGGTTTTAGGATGCTGAGCCTGAGGAAGAAGCAGAAAATGAACCAAATGAGAGGTTTAGCTTCTCTTATTCAATGGGAAATGACCTTTTCAAATTCATATAGCTTCATATATGTTTTATTTCCTGGAGCAGAAGGACAAAAAAAAAGATTAATATTTCCAGGAAAATCATCGACAAAGAAAAAGAAGAAGAACGTATTGTCTAAGTTAGAAATATCACTAGAAGGTGACGGAAACCCAAAGCAGTCCAAACCATCTGAACATCATGATGCTCTTGATGATGTTCAGAGGGAAACAATATTTAGGAAATCAACAACAATTGTCGTGATTATTAGACAAGTCGAAATGGATGCAATACACTCAGCACAGCAAGCCACGATCAAGGTATACTGAATGCTATAAAGAATAACATTGATTGTTATTTTTAACACAATGTTTGAATGCCGCTATTGATTGAGTCAAGAGTGTGAGTCCTCGAAAACGTTCTCCTCGACGTCGAAGTTTGTCACCTTGAGATCTCTTCAAAACAGGTCTCCTTATCATGGAAAAGATGAGGCACAATATGTCAATAGGTGAGTCTTTATTTTTATTTTTTTATCTTAAACGCTTATTATTTATCTTACTACAACCCATTAATGATTAGTATCCAACTGATCTTCTACTGAATGAAATTATAAGTTTTGTTAAATATTATGAGATTTTGCTTGATAATTTTCAAAGTGTGTATTTATATCATATATTCCTTGCATTTTGTGATTTTGCAGCTAGGTAGCTTAAATTTTATCTTAGCCATTGAAAAAAGTTTATCTATCGTAATGGTATACAAGTGTTTCAACCATAATACTTGATATGGATACGTCACATAGCTCCCGTGACAAGTGTGATATTGCATCAATTGTACAGTAAAGTACTACTAATCTCTTGTTTGGTTGATTTTTTCTCTTTCTAATTATAGCAACTTGCTTTTCTGTTTTTGTTTCAATTGTAGGGAGCATTTGTTTTATTTCTATGTCAGTTTAGGAAACAAAAAACCCGACGAAAGTCTCATTTCAAATAAATTGTTGTATCCCACGTTGTAAAATGCGGTGTTTCCCTCTTGTAAATTTGGACTTTCCTATTGGAGGCATTGTCCATACAGTATTTATTGCTCTCACTTTTTTCAAATTTTGGATTGACCCTTATATCTCTATGAAATATTTTTTTTATACAAATGTATGTAATGAAATTTTGTAATACAATTTCCCATCTAATCTTAACATTCAAGACTCTAATATTACCTTAAAAATAACACAACCCGTGCATTGCACGAGTAAAATATTAGTATTTATATAAAGCTAAATCTTATAACAATGTCCCAAAACAAAACTTCTACCATTACAAGCATCTTCAAATTCCTGATGAAATGACGCTTTACTTTATTCCAAGTTTTGAGCTTAAAAAATGAGTAAAATATTGCCAAAGAAAGGGACTTTTTTTTTGTTTACTAAGTCCTTGTTTGATCCTTATTTTCCTAAAACTCTGTTTCAACCACATATTTACACAATAAAAATATTTTGCACGTAAACTCAAAAATTTTCTTTACTTTTTAGCGATACACTAGCCAAAATAAATCAATATTCCAAAAGCTATTAATCCAAAAAAATGGGGCTCAAACAAAGGCTAAATTCCTAGCAAAAAAAATATCAAAAGGTATGAAGTTCATTATTCACGACTTCATTTTGCTGCTTAACAAAGCCAAAGAAGCATCTTATAGCTTTACAATTTCTTTTGTGCACGAACTTCACTGTCTCCAACTTTAGTCTTTTTCTTATCTTTCTTTATATAATCTATTGACCCTTTTTTTGTAATGATTACGTGGACAACAGATGCCAGGCCCGCTCACCTCCACACAAGCAAGTTTCAACACGTTTTGAGAAGAGATTCCGACGGGAAAGGATGACGTTTATGGACGTGGGAAATGGTGTATGACACGAGACAATAATGTCCAAGTACCGACAACATGATGAATGATTGCATAGGAATAATCTTAACCCAAGCACATATATGAAATAAGCAATAGAGAAGATTGAATGTGGTTTTTAGTATCAAGAGTTCATTTAACTTCAAATGTTACAAGAGTTTCTTATTTATAGAGTTCTGGCCGAAGTGGTAGATATTGGATAAGAACCATGTGGTCTCATCTTTCTGGTCAAAGCCTCACATCACTCGGTCTCTTGTGCATTTAATACATTGACAGCGAATCAGCCACCCTCTACCTTAGGCTGACAATTTTGACATTCATTATTACAAACGTTTCATCAATCATTCCTAAAAATTGTCTATATGTCCTTTAAAAGATAGCAAGGACTTTAGCCAAAGGGAGCTTCGGATTGGAGCTAAAGTTTTGGCCAAATGGTACATCATATTGGAGGTCTTTGGAGTTAAGAGATTCGAGACAGGGAGCTTCAACTTCTTCTTTGACTTCTTATATAGTGCTTCAGCTTACACATGGCACTTTGGGTGAGGCGTCGATTCGTCATCTTTATCTATGATTTCGGTTCAATTTTTATGACATGGAGTGTGTGCCTTTTGTTTGGGTTTCTTCTTGAGCCTCGATTTTGAGTTGTTGGCTTCTTCTTGAGTTTTGATTTTAAGGTGTAACAATAGTCTCCCAAATCTATGTATGATATTTATGTCATGCATAGACTTTTTATTTTGAGAAGTATTATTCTAATATTGCATGTCATTTGTTTGACTTGGTGGTTCTGCCTACTATTACACTTTCATAGAAAGCCTTTAATTTTTGTAGAAACCTTAATTTGAATGTTGACTTGTTCTGAAGAGACTGAAGCGATGCATTAGTTTGGCTGAAATTTGATGCAGAGACAAGGCTCTGAAGTGATGAAGTGTTTTGTAGGGTCATCTTTGGAGGTTTGACTGTAAGCTCCCTGTTTACGCTCCCTTTAGAAGCACTCACATGTCCCTACATGGTGAATAGTTCATTCATACAGAGACTTCATTCATGGTGTTCAGTTTCTCCATGGGAGGCATATGATGGTAACATTGGAGAATTTAGAGGTGATCCCTTTTTGGGATCAACAACTTTTCCCTACATGGTGGATGGTTCGTCTATGGGAGGTTTATGATATCAACCTTAGATAATTTGGAGGTAATCCCTTTTGGGATCCACTCTTTTCCGAGGTACTCATGTTTCCCTACATGATGGATGGTTCATCCATAGAAACTTCTCCTATGGTGTTCAACTTCATACTCTGACTTTTATTTCAATCATACCGTTGATAAATTCATTCAAAGTCCTTAAACTTTCGAAACATCTACACTTCAATCCCTAAGTTCACATTTTTGTACGCTTTTAGTCGTTTTCACTTCTTTTCCGTTGTTCCCTTTTAATTTGAAATGTTTTGCTTATCACTTGATAGAGGTGCCATACTTCATTGTTGTTCCATTTATGGTCTGTTCTTCAAAGGCTCCCATTTGTAAAAGGGTCTTCCAATACCCTCTTCATTAAGGACCTCCTTTTTAGGGGGTTTTCTTATTCAAGGTCATTTCTTTAGCGACCACTCCTCTTTCTGGGGGAGCCTCTTCTTTAGAGACCTCCCCGTTTCAAGGGATCTATTTATTCAATGTTATTTTTTCGACGATCTCCTCTTTTTCAGAGGGTCTTCTTATTCATAGCCTCTTCGTTGGAGACCTCCCCTTTCAAAGGGTCTACTTATTCAATATCACTTCTTCAGCGACCTTCCTCTTTTTAGGGATCTTTTTATTGATGACCTCTTTTTCGGAGACCTCTTCTTCTCTGGGCGTCTACTTATTCATTACCATTTCGTCGGCGACCTCTCCCTTTTCAGGGGGTCTTTTTATTCATGGTCACTTTATTAGAGATATCCCCCTTTCAAGGGGTCTATTTATTCAATACCATTTCTTCGGTGACCTCCCCCTTTTTAGGGGGTCTTCTTATTCATGGTCTCTTCGTTGGAAATATCCCTCTTTCAACGAATCTACTTATTCAATGCCACTTTTTCAGCGATCTCCCCATTTTCAAGGGGTTTTCTTATTCATAGCCTCTTCATTTGAGATATCTTCCTTTCAGAAGGTCTACTTATTCAATGCCACTTCTTCAGCGGCCTCCTCTTTCAGTGGGTCTACTTATTCGGATGGGAAATGATGATATTTATGGACGTGAAAAATGCTCTACGACACGAGACAAATATGTTCAAACACCAGCAACATAATCAAAGATGATTGCATATAAACAAACAATCACGTACAACTCAACTAAAATAGGAATAATCTTAACTCAAGCACATAAATATGAAATAAGCAAAAGAAAAGATCGAATGTGGTTTTTAGTATCAAGAGTTGTATTAGATTCAAATGTTACAAGAGTTCCTTATTTATAAAGTTATACTTGAAGTGCTATGCATTTAATACATTGACAATTGATCAGCCACCCTAAGTTGACAATCTTGACATTCGTTATTCCAAACGTTACATCATCATTCTTAAAGATTGCCTGCAAATCCCCTAAAAGACAGCAAGGGTTTCAGCGAAAGGGAGCTTCGGATTAAAGTCAGGGCTTAGACCAAAAGTAGCTTCGTATTCGAGGTTTTCGGTGTGAAGAGCTTCGAGATAGGGAGCTTCAGCTTCTTTTTTGACTTCTTATACAGTGTTTCGACTTCAGGGTTTCAGCCGCTTGGCTACACTTCGACTTCAGGGCTTCATCTTACACATGGCGCTTTGGGTGATGTGTCGATTCGTCATTTTTACCTATAACTTAGGTTCAATTTTTTATGACGTGAAGTGTGAGCCTTTTGTTTGGGTTTTTTCTTGAGCCTTGGTTTTGAGGTGTGGGCTTCTTCTTGAGCCTCAGTTTTGAGGTGTAACATAATCAGCTCCAAATTTTTATAGAATATAAATGCTTTCTTAATGAACGATCCATGTGACTGATGCAAACGTCAAAGAAAAGAAAGAGATGTGTTCGTTAATAGCTTAAATCATTATATGTTGATTATTTTACATATTTAATTCAATGTGGGATATAGCTTTATCATTCAAGAACACCGATCTTGATATCTAACCCCTCATTTGAGATTTACACATACGTATCAAATTGTTCGTTTGAACTTTTTGAGCTCTGATATTATATTAAAGTTTAGCTCTTGTTTGATTCTCATTATTTTCAATATACACTTTTTTTTCTTATTTTCAATCACACATTTTCAATAAAATAATATTACAAGCAAATTCAAAATATTTCCTTATTTTTTAACCATACATTTTCCATAAAAATACTATTCCAAAATACATTTTGTTTTTAAAAGGGGGCTCAACAAAAAAAGTCAACATTTCTTAAGAGAAATGGAACTAGAGTTGGACCATTGGTACGACTGGAG